CAAGACAAGATCGAGGGCATCAGAATGAATTGATCATTGGTTCAATACCCTGAAACACTTATTTGAGCCTATTTATCATTTTCTTTCATAACCATGAGCATTGGCCTACATTACGTGCCTTAAAAGTCTCTTCTAATCATACATGGATTTCTAAACAGAAGAGACTATCTTCAGATTTCATCCCGCCCATCAGGATTAATTTGCAAAAAAATAATGTAATTAATGCATGGTAGAGAAAAATGACAAAGGGGGGTTCAAGACGTAAATCGTGAATAACGTTTTGAAACCAAAGGAGGGTTCGAGTTGAAAACCTGAAAAGGAGGCTCGAATATAAAAATTGTGCAACTGAGGCGATCGCACAAATTCCTTGATAAGGCATCGCACAATCCGAGTGTGACAACGAAGGTTGGGAGTCAGAGAACACTTCCAGCAGAGAAACATGCAAGCTACCCCATCAATCCTTTGAGCATAAAATGCCAAACCTTTGACCAAACACGATAATCTGAGACTTTTGTTATCCGTTCCTTACTTAACCATTTCCCAAAGATAGCTTTGATCTTGACACTTGTCAAATAGCTATAATTTATTGAAGGATTAACATTGTAATTAATTCTTTGATATCCGATGAACTCTAGTTTTATGATTCGCCTCAATTATAAAACCATGAAAGTGACAATATTTTCAAAACTTTTGGTTAAACATTTTTCGAAACTCTTTTAATTGATATTTTCATAACTTTGAAAATAAAAGAGAAAGAAAAACATTTTTTTTCAAACAAAATAGTCTCTCTAGAGTGGATCTTGGTAAATGACATGTGACTCTTAGACACAAAGCTCGTGCTCAGAATCAATGCTGAAGCAAGAAATGAGGAACATTTGGGGCATCTTTGAAGATTCAACATCAAATATTGGGGCATTTTTGGATATTGGGGCATCTTTGAGGATTCAACATCCTAATGCGAATTATCAAACCCTCTGAAGGCATTTCCTCCACATGCAGGAACAAGCAGGCAAAAATGAGGTTCTATCCAAGAGATAAATGACATTAATTCATGTTGCATGCATCTTAGACATACTTGAGAGCATCACATTTATCATTTTTATCATACATAATTTTTGCAGCTTTAGAGTCAAGTTTCAACTTCAATGCGAAAGATACCTGAATCAAAAGAGTTTGTAAAAATCGATAGTGGTTGTTTAACTCAGTAGCAAGGAGCTATAATTGATATATTGAAAGATCGACAGATCTTAGAATCAACTTCAGACGAGTTCGAGAGCTAATTCAGAACCGATCCAGTTCGCATTTTCAAGTTGGATTTCAATTTCACGACGAAGGATATCCAATTCCTGGCTCAACTTCACGGCGAAGGGGCCACCCACGGTTTCAACTTCACGAAAAAGGGAATCGTGCTCACCATTGTCTCTCTTGAGATAGTTTCCCTTGGAAAAAAACCTTTGAAATTGTTTCTCTTGAAACACAAAAACCTTTGAAACATAAACATTGAAAACATTTCCCTTGAAATGAATTTTGTCTCTCTTGAGACAGTTTCCCTTGAAACAAAATCTTTGAATATGTTTTCCTTGGAACTAATTTCATCTCCCCGTGAGACAATTTCTTTTGGAACTAAGTTTTGTCTCTCTTGAGACAGTTTTTCTTAAAACAAAATTTTGTCTCCCTTGAGACCGTTTCTCATGAAACAACAGATATCTTTGAGATCGTTTCCCTTGAAACGAATTATGTCTCTTTCGAGGCAATTTCTCTTGAAGCATCATCTAAACCGTTATACTCAGCTCAGGCACATACTTAGGATGGTCGAAAGCATTTCTCAAATAAAAAAAAAGAATGTGCACATCAGATTTGAACATTTGAAGAATTCAAGATCAGGGATTAGAACTTGAAGATTCCAGAACTAAGATTCTAGAAAAGCAACCGGAGATCGAGATTTCTCTCTTGAGCCCAAAAATAACATATGTTGCATCATTTTAGGCATACCTAAGAGCATTGCATCAATCTCATCACATATATGCATAACTTTTTCAGGTTTTAGCTAGAGTCAATTTCAACTTCGTAGCGAAGGATATTGAGCTCAAAGCTACACAATCAACTCGAGAGTAGATTTAAACTTCGCGACGGAGGATATCTAGCTCGAAGCCAAACTTCACAATACTTGGATTTCAACTTCACGACGAAGGATATTCAAGTCAAGGCTCAACTTCACGACGAAGGGGTCATCCACGATTTCAACTCCACGACGGAGGATATCGTTCCCACACATCCACGATTTTAACTCCACAACGGAGGATATCGCGCCACCCGAGACAACACAAGTTCAACTTCACAACGAAGGGACGACTGGTTGTCAACAAACAACTTCCTAATTTCAGAGCCAATTTCAACTTCACAGCGAAGGATATTGGACTCAAGACAACACAAGTTCAACTTCACAACGAATGGACCACTGGTTGTCAACAAACAACTTCCCAATTTCAGAGCCAATTTCAACTTCACACCGAAGGATATTGGACTCAAGACAACACAAGTTCAACTTCACAACGAAGGGACGACTGGTTGTCAACAAATAATTTCCCAATTTCAGAGCCAATTTCAACTTCACAGCGAAGGGCATTGGACTCGAGACAGCACAAGTTCAGGGACGGCTGGTTGTCAACAAACAATTTCCCAATTTCAGAACCAATTTCAACTTCACAGCGAAGGATATTGGACTCGAGACAACACAAGTTCAACTTCACAATGAAGGGACGGCTGATTGTCAACAACCAATTTCCCAGTTCCAGAACCAATTTCAACTTCACGGCGGATGATATTGGACTCGGAACAATACAACCTACTTGGATTTCAACTTCACGACGAAGGGTATCCAATTCCAAACTCAACTTTACGACGAAGGGGTCACCAATGGTTTCAACTTCACAACAAAGGGAATCGTGCACACAAGCAACATCCATCTCTAGATTGGATTTCAACTTCACGACGAAGGATATCCAACTCAAAGAAGGAGCGTCTGTCAACACACTTTTCAGTTTCAGAGTCAATTTCAACTTCACAGCGAAGGATATTGGCCTCGAAACAACGCAACTTACATTGGATTTCAGCTTCACGACGAATGATATCCAAATCCAAGGCTCAACTTCAGGACGAAGGGGCCATATTCGATTCCAACTTCACAAATAGATTGACCCAACTTCACGACGAAGGAGTCATCTGTAACGCAGCAACACCGAAGTCTTCAGGACAAGTTTCACCTTCACGACAAAGTATCTTGATCCAGAAGACGATTCAAAGGGCACTCGCCAAAAGCTTTGAGTTTGATTTCAACTTCACGACGAAAGATATCGTGCTCAGAAGCTTCTAGTTCAACTCGACCTCACGACGAGGGAGTCATTCCATATTTCAGTTCAATTTGGCAAACCAATCAAATATCGAATTTCAACTCTGCGATAGAGGATATTCAATATGAACGAAAATTTGTGTCTTTTATCTTTGCCCTATTTTTCGTTCCACGAAAAAGGACAAATAGGGGCAGCTGTAGACACTAATTTTCCAATGCCACATGTCTCCTCCCCGAAGACTCCTCCTGCATCCAATTTTCATAGCAACCAAAGAGCGTTAGAAGTCTATTTTGTATAGGATTCTAAAAATAGTCTGCTTTTTCCATTATAAATACATGTAATCCATATCATTTGTAACACACGAATGGAGATACGAAATAGAAGCAGAAATTACGAGCAATCTTAGAGCGAAATCAGAGTTTTTTTTCCTGCAAGTTTTCGAAGAAAAATACAAGGTAAATATAGTACCTTTTTCGAGTTTACGCTTGCATGCTTGTGTGTCGTTACATTTTCTATTCGAAAAACACCAAAGAAAACGATTTTTTGCCGATGAATAGGGGCATTTATTCGGGATCTATTTTTATAGATCTAGCCCCCGAGGCTTCTTTTCTTGAGAAAATACTTTGATTTTCGGAATGGGTGTGAAAAAGGGGTAATCTCACTCTTGGTCCCCTCGTTTATAAAGGATTTAATTTCCACCTTGAAATCCCAATTCATCCTCAAAGTGCTCCAAAATTTGTCATTCGATTTTCTATTTTTACATTCTAGTCTGTTTTCTAGATTTGAATTTCAATTTTCTTCTTATTTTATTTAATATTACATTATAGTATATATTTGATATTACTGCTGTATATTATTATTATTTATTTCCTTTTGTTGTTATGTATATACATGTATCATTATTATTTTATTATTTACTTATTTTATTTATATGTTATATTATATATATATATATATTTTTACGTTATTTCTTAATATTTTTCTTTATATATTTTTTAGTTTACAAGCTAATATGAATGTATTTCCTTTTTTACCTTTTTTCCTTCGTTTTGTTTATTTATTTTATTTTTATTTTCTTTATTCATTGATTCATTTTTCTATTTTATTTATTTATTTATCTTATTCCATTGTCTTTATTTTTTTATATATTCATTTTATTTTCATAATCTTCATATCAACTGTGTTGTTTACTTTTCGTCCATATTTGTTAGTATTTTTTTTTGTTTATCTCTTCTTTATTTCATTTTCTTTATTTTCAATTTATCTTCATCGTGTTTGTTTTTCTAACACTTTTCTTGATTATTTAAGGGTTCGTTTTTCAAACCTTAGAGGTGAATAATTTGGATCGTCATTTTATCTTTTAATTTAACTTACAATTTTCTTAATCAAAGACAATTGGAAATTACGTAGTACCAAAAGGGCAGTTCAAGGGTGTTAACCCTTCCTTGACTATAACCGACTCCCGAATCCGACACATCTTTGGTAAGACGCAGATCAGGTAAGAAATAAGGTGTCCGATCAACCCATTTGCTTTAAAATAAATGATCGGTGGCGACTCCTAATCCATTTTCCTAAGTCGAAGCCCAATTCCGAGGCCTAACCGAAAGACGGTTGAGACAAAGCTCAAACCAGTTTGCTTATGGTCTCAAAATGGGTGGTAAAATCAAGGCCATTAAGGCCAGATTTGCTTCCATTCAAGGTCAGACCAGTGAGTTAAAGTTGGTAGAGCGTAATCTTCCCGTGGAAACTCCTTTCACGGACAAAAGGAGGCGGCAGACGCACTCTTTTGTGGATAAAGAAGAAATAATAGGAAGGGACGGTGATAAAGCAGCTCTTCTAGAACTCTTGCTAGAAAAAGAGTTTCAAAGTGAAGAGAATGTTATTATGGTTCGAATCGTGGGGATTGGAGGGTTGGGGAAGACTGCGTTGGCGCAGTTTGTCTATAATTATGAAAGGTTAAAGATCATTTTGAGTTGAAGATGTGGGTTTGTGTTTCCGATATTTTTGATGTGAAAACAATAGTAGCGAATATTATCAAGTCTGCGACTAATCAAGCACCCAATCAAAATCTCGAGACGGATCAATTGCAAACACAGCTTCGAGATAAAATTGATGGGAAAAAATACTTGTTTGTTTTGGATGATATTTGGAACGAGGAGGGAGAACAATGGTTTAGCTTAAAGAAGTTACTGATGGGTGGGGCTAGAGGAAGTAGAATAATAGTAACTACTCGCTCTCATAGAGTAGCAAAGGTTACTAGTAAATGTCAATCCTATGTTTTGGAAGGTTTGTCTGATGATGACGCTTGGTCTTTGTTCAAAAAAATAGCATTTGAGCAAAGAGATGCGGACTCAACAAATCCAGTCTTTTTGGAAATAGGAACGCAGATTTTGGAAAGGTGCGGTGGGGTTCCCTTAGTCATAAGGACTATAGCTAGTACGTTATTCATTAAAGAAACTGAAAGAGAGTGGCGTTCTTTCAAAGATAATGAACTTGCTAGAATATCTCGAAAAGATGGTGAAATTTTGCCTACACTCAAGCTGAGTTATGACCATCTTCCAGCCCATTTGAAGCATTGCTTTGCTTATTGCAGACTGTACCCAAAAGATCATAAAATTAATATACAAACACTTGTTCAACTTTGGATTGCACAAGGTTTTGTAAAGCAATCAGATCCGAATCAATCTCTCCAAGAGATTGGGTTGGATTATTTTAAAGACCTAGCGGAAAGAAGTTTCTTTCAAGAGATGGAAGAACATGATTATTGGGGAATGAGATGTAAAATGCATGATTTAATGCATGATCTTGCTGAATCAGTAGCAGGGAGAGAGAGTAGAATTTTAGACTCAAATTCGAATACAAGTGAGGTTGATGAAATATGTCGTCATATAACAATTGATTTTCAAATATTTCCTTCGTTCAAGGGAAGGAAGTTACGAACTTTGTTGCCCTTTCCTTACCAGAAAAATAGAAATAGGAGTGAGACGATTTGGAATTTAATAATTTCAAACTGTAGGTGTGCGTGTATTAGAATTGGATCATTTAGATCTTGATATAGTTCCACGCTCCATTCATAAGTTGAAACATTTGAGGCACCTTGAACTCTCTATGAATTTCAATCTTCAGATCCTCCCGAAGAGTATTTGCAAGTTGCTAAATTTGCAAGTGCTGAAACTTGACCATTGTGTTATACTTAAAGAATTGCCAGGGAAGATTGAAAAATTGGTGAATCTTACCCATCTTTCATGTCTTGATTGTCGGAGCTTAACTCATATGCCACGTGGAATAGGGAAGCTGACTTCGCTTCAGAGGTTAAGCATGTTTGTGGTGGATGAACGTGGTTCCCGTGGTGGTGGTGGTTATGCTGCAGATCTAAGGGAATTGGGTGGGCTTAACAATTTGAGGGGACAGTTAAGGATAACAAACTTGGGATTGGTGAAAAATGCAAAAGAGGAGTTCAGGGCTGCTAATTTGAAAGAGAAGCAACATTTGGAATCATTGGTTTTAGATTGGGGCTACACTACAGATGATGAAGAGAAGTCACTTGAAGACCTCCAGCCCCCTCCTAATCTGAAGCGTCTCTCTTTCTTTGGATGGAGGGGCAATGCCAAGATTCCGAGCTGGCTTTCTTTGCTCACAAATTTGGAATTCTTAAGTATACGAGGTGGTCCCCGGTTGGCGGAAAGATGTCGGAAGGACATTGGTGAGGATTGGCATAAGATTACTCACATCCCACGCATTCGGGTGAATGGGGTGGGTGCTTCCTACCCTTTCCATTTATCCACTTTTACAACAATATATCGTCTTTTCTATTTTCAATATGTTAATATTGCTTACTTGTTTTCTATCTGCAGAGACAAGTGCAATTCCTAAAGTAGGACATTGGAGTATTTCAAGAATATATATGCGGAAAAGAGGTTGTAATTACGTAATTGCTTTAGGCTTTTATATCATATATAGAATCACAGAATTGCAGTCGTCTGATAATGACTATTCCTTTTTGTCAGCATGAGTTCACATACATTCTGCAACAGCTGATCCATTCCACTTCATACCATATAAATTTATTCCGGAAGGTAATCAATATCACCCAATTCTTTACTGCCCGAGTTCAAAATAATCCAGAAACAATCATTTCGCCATTATTATCGCATTCTCTTTGCAGCAAAACTCACAAGGCTTAGGTTAGGTTTTCATTTAAGTGGATTTTAAAATAGTATACCAGAGACATAAGGGAAGGGCTTGCTAAATTGGGGGATCTGCGGTTTAAAGTATTGGATTCTGCTGGCTTGGAAACAGAAGCTTCATCCCGATCTATTTCTAAATAGAACAGCTGCCATGACCGCAAATGTGCTTGCTAGAACTCAGTTTGCAATTTTTCTTATTGATGTCAGGTCAGTCTTATTTTGGATCCCTTATACACGCATGGATGTCTACTTATGATTGCACAACTTTATTATTTTAAAAATTTATTTGAAAATTTTTGAGAAGACATTACATTGCATCACATCAATTTCTTTAACATCTTTAATCATGGTGTTGGGTGCAAATGTTTTCAGGTCATTATTTTGAGGGTTTCTTTCTCCAGTATGTTCTAATTAAAATTTATTTCTTTGTATTTATTGAGTCTAGAACTGGGCTACATCCATTGGATCAGGAGGTTAGAAGGTGGTTACGCAAGCATGCACCAGGAATCAATCCTATAGTAGCCATGAATAAATCTGAATCGCTTCATAAATGATACAAACTCTTTTGCTGAAGCTGCTACAGAAGCCCTGAAATTAGGATATGGGGAAAAGAAATTCCGTGTAATATAAAAAAAATAATGGAAGTTGTTCCTCAAGAAATTCAGATGGTTATACCCCAGGTCTGTCAGGTTAATCTATATTTTCTATTTTAGTAATTAATAATAGAAGAATGTATGAAAAAGTTGAGATGTTATGTGATTTTTGTCGTACACCCGGATCTTCTATAGATTAACTAATAATGGAAAATGTGTGAAAAAGTTGAGATGTTATGTGCTTTTCGTTGCACACCCGGATCTTCTATAGATGAATTATGTATTTGCTAAACACCATTTAGATGATCTTTTTATGTTATCATGGCCTTGGCAACAGATAACTGGGATACCAGTTGTGTTCATCTCAGCAATAGACGGAAAAGGGCGTGCTGCTGTTATGTCCCAAGTCATCGATACGTACGAGAAGTGGTGTTTAAGGTTGTCCACTGCACGTCTTAACCGTTGGTTGCGCAAGGTCTGTGGTTGAAATCTTTTTTTCCCCTCATCTTAGAACCCTGAAAGTGTATAATTTTGTACTCGATTTGATATGCCTGTTTATTTCAATCCGTCGTCGTTGCTGTTGGTTTAGTTTACGGGCCGGCATTCTTGGAAAGACCACGGTGCTCAAACCAAGATCAAGTACTTCACTCAAGTGAAAGCCAGGCCTCCAACTTTCGTCGCCTTCGTGAATTGGAACACCAAACTTTCCGATACATATGTAAGGTTTCTAACCAAATCTTTGAAGGAGGATTTTGACATGGGCGGAATTCCAATCCGATTCATGCAGCGTTCTGTTCCGAGAATGTCCGGAGGGAATAGCAGTAAGAGCAGCCAATCTGCCGGTAAAACGGTTGAACGCACACCATCGGACAAAAGAAGTGTCCTTGTTTAGGCATGGCGCTGGCAGTTAATTTCTTTATAGGAGGAAACAGGTAGGCTGAAATTGGAAAAGGATAGATTTGTCCTTTTAAATTAGAAGGAAAGTTTTATTTGTTTCTTAAATTATGCAGGATTTATTTGTATTAAATTGTGTAAATTTAACTTGGGTGGTTTTTTTGTAATTTTTTATAGATGGAGGACTTAAAAAAACATCTTATAGTCAGGACCATCCGCATTGTTTACCCATTTAATATTAATTTTTAAGTAAATTTAAAATCAATTTTCTGTGATGTTTTTTTCCTTTTATTGATTTTCAACATAATAAAAAATTCAAAATAGATCAAATTTAGTCTCGACCCTTTTATTATATTCAAATTTGAAATTTAGTCTATATACTTCAATTTGGTGTAATTCATTGACTACATTAACGTCATTTGTTTGTTTAAATAGTTTAATTTTGATTAAAACATTCATGAATTCTTCAAAGTATTTAAATTTAACTAATCATTAATTAGTCTATCGGCACGAGTTGTTAATCTTTTTAAAAAAATTTGAATTGAAAATGTTATCTCATAATTGTTTCTATTGTATTTGATTTAAATTAATCGGATAATAAATTGAATGTATGTGGTTATACAAAAAAAGATATTTCAATTTAACCAGAACCAACTAACAATTAATCTATCATGATCGACATTATGTCCTTTACGTAAGGTTGGTGATTTGGACATTATGTCATTTATAATATGTGGTCTAGATTAATCGCTTAATAAATTAGATACTAATAATTATATAAATGTCGCAACAGTCTTTTTGATGGGCCCGAAATCAAGCTTCGACTTAAATAAGTGGGTTAGAGTCGCCACCGATAATTTATTTTAAGAACAAAAATTGGTTGATCAGATACCTCGGTTTCTTACCTGATCTGCATCTTACCAGAAATATGTCGGATTTGAGAGTCGGTTACAGACAAGGAAGGATTATCACCCTTGAACTGCCCTTTTGGTACTAATTTAATTTTCAGTTGTCTTAATTAAGAAAATTGTAAGTTAAATTAGAAATAAAAATTTGATCCAAATTACTTACGTCTGATTGATTTAAAAGAGCACCTTTAAAAGATAAAAACGTTAGATTTGTAAAATAAAAACACTAAATTGATCAAAATAAATTATGAAGGTTAAATTATGATACTTTAAACAAAAAAGAAAAACATACATACATACATGTTGGAAAATAAATGGAAATAAAGTTAACAAGCTGAGAAATTACAATAAATAAAACAACCCCATATCCCACATATTTAAAACACAAAGTGATAAGAAAAAAAAATGAAAGGACAAAGTATATGGCATAAAAAAATAAAAGAAATACAAATTGCGAAATTAAAGACAAACTATTACTAAAATAAAAATAAAAGAAATGGAACAAAATAAAAATACAAAAACCTAAAAAATAGCTAAATAAAAAAGGAAAATAAATATAAAAATGGCTAATACTAAAAAAGAAAATAAATGAAAAAAGAATATATAGAAAAGTAAAAAAACCAAAAAAAGTTAACTAAATTAAAAAAAGAAATAAACAAAAACAAAAACAAAAAATTAATAATAAAAAATGTCGGGTTAAAAAAATAATTAAATTAAAACGTGACTTAAATAAAAAAGGAATAAAAGAAAAGAAAAATAAAACGAATGGTGAATTTAAAAGAAAAAATGAAACTAAAATTAAATTAAAAGCGCGAAAAAGAATTTAAAAGTAATAGAGAGACCAGAGCTGCAATTAACCATTATCCAGGTGAAAACACGCGGATCCCCTATGGGATCTTGTCGGGTCCTCGGGTTGAGTATAAAACCCAACATTCATAAACAGAAAATTATTTTCCCCCTCACCCCAATTCGATCAAAACCAAACTTAACCTTTTCTCTCAACTGTTCTTCATAAATGAAGAACACGACCGCCTGGGTTCATAGAGAACCCAGAATTCGATTGGCCACCGCCTCATCGGCCGCCGTAGATCGACGCCAGCCGCCGTTCATCGACGGTGAGACCCAAAAAGAAATATATTTTTCGAAATCCCTTTTCATCATCTCTTCCAAAATAGCATTGGTTTTTACAAAATAGCATCGGAGAGAGCTAGATCTGAGAAAAACTTCTCGAATGCCCTCCCCTCATATCATCGGCCTCTCTTCTTTTTTGGGTTTTTCGAGTCAAAAATGGAAAGAAACAAAATAACTTAGACCCACATGCAAGCAACAAACCGAGAAAGGTGAGAACTTTTACCCTTTTTTATTTCTTTTCGAAGCTTTACAAGTGTCTTTTTTTCTTTGATTTCTTGTGTATTTCTCTCGTGATTTCTTGTGCTTTCTTAGAACAACATTACATGTATTTATAGTCTCTAGAGAACCCCTATTTTTGGTTCGATTTAGACTCCTATTTAGACTCAAATGCTTATTTTTTTTCCAGTTTTTGACATGATTCTCGTCCACGATGGTGTCAAAAATTTCAGAATGTGGAGTTGTTGGATGCAGTTGGAACGGGTGGTGAATTACGACTGGGATGGACACTCTCCAAGCCATCCCGATCGTCGGATGGCCTATTGATCTGACGGTCCAAGACATGCAGTGCTGAAAGAAGTGATGTGAAACCTTAGCAGGCTTCTCACGTACTGGGCTGGGTCAGTTGGGCCTGGTGGGACTGTTTTCGGGTTGGTTCTGTAAATAAAATAAAGAAAAGATAAATATATATATATATATATATATATGTGTGTGTGTGTGTGTTATGAATATACAATGTACGCACATAATGGTGTAATGTATGTATATTATAGTATATAGTATAATATACAGACACAATGTATATGTCCACAGTCCCCAGCAGAGTTGAAAAAACATGATTACAATTATTTACTTGAAAATAATCAAAGATAAGTAATAAGATCGAAAAATTAACTTAAAAATTAACTTAAATTTTTCATTTAAAAAAAGACAACTAGAAATTAGCTTTACCCTGACTCACTTACCACTCCCCAACAGAGTCGCCAAGCTGTCGCAACCGTTTTTTGGGTGGGCCCAAAATTGGGCTTTGACTTAAATAAGTGGGTTAGAGTCACCACCGATCATTTATTTTAAGAACAAAAATTGGTTAATCGGATACCTCATTTTCTTAGCTGATCTGCATCTTACCAGAAATATGTCAGATTCGGGAGTCGGTAAGGAAGGATTAGCACCCTTGAATTGCCCTTTCAGTACTAATTTAATTTCCAGTTGTCTTAATTAAAAAAATTGCAAGTTAAATTAGAAATAAATATTCGATCCAAATTACTTACCTCTGATTGATTTAAAAGAATACCCTTAAAAGATAAAAATGTTACATTTGTAAAATAAAAACACTGAATTGATCAAAATAAAATATGAAGGTTAAATTATGATACTTTAAACAGAAAAGAAAAACATACATACATACATGCTGGAAAATAAATGGAAATAAAGTTAACAACTGAGAAATTGCAATAAATAAAACAATCCCAGATCCCACGAATTGAAAACGCAAAGTGATAAGAAAAAAATGCAAGGACAAATTTTACGGTATAAAAAAATAAAAGAAATATCAATTGTGAAATTAAAGACAAACGATTACTAAAATAAAAATAAAAGAAATAGAAAAAAATCAAAATACAAAACCCTAAAAATAGCTAAAGAAAAAAGAAAAATAAATATAAAATGGCTAATATTAAAAAAATGAAAAAATAATATATAAAAAAGTAAAAAAACCCAAAAAGTTAATAAATTAAAAAAAAGAAATAAACAATAAACAATAACAAATAATAATAATAATAAAAAAGTCGGGATAAAAAATAATTAAATTAAAATGTGACTTAAATAAAAAAAGGACTAAATTAAAAGAAAAATAAAACGAATGGTGAACTTAAAAGAAAAAATGAAATTAAAATTGAACTAAAAGCGCGAAAAAGGATTTAAAAGTAATATAGGGAACAGAGCTGCAATTAACCCCTATCCAGGTGAAAACACGCGGATCCCCTAAGGGATCCGGTTGGATCATCGGGTCGAAAACGGGACATCGGGTCAACTATAAAACCCAACATTCATAAATAGAAAATCATATTTCCCCTCACCCCCAATTCGATCAAAACCAAACTCAACCTTTTCTCTCAATTGTTCTTCATAAATGAAGAACACGACCGCCTGGGTTCATAGAGAACCCAAATCCGATCGACCACCGCCTCGCCGGCTGCCGTAGATCGGTTTCGGCCGCCGTTCATCGGAAGTGAGACACAAAAAGAAATACATTTTTTGAAAGTCCTTTTCATCATCTCTTTAAAAATAGCCTTGGTTTTTTACAAAATAGCCTCGGGGAGGGCTAGATCTGATAAAAACTTCTCGAATGTCCTCCTCTCCAATCATCGACCTCCCTTCTTTTTTGGGTTTTATAGTAAAAAACGAAAATAAAAAAAGAAACAAAATAACTTAGACCCACATGCAAGCGACAAACCGAGAAAGGTGAAAACTTTTATCTTTTTTTATTTCTTTTCGAAGCTTTACAAGTGCCTTTTTTGCTTTGATTTATTGTGTATTTCTCTCGTGATTTCTTGTGCTCTTTCTTAGAACATCAATACATGTATTTATAGTCTCTAGAGAACCCCTATTTCAGTTAGATTTAGACTCCTATTTAGACTTAAATGCTTATTTCTTTTTCCGTTTTTTGACATGATACTCATCCACGATGGTGTCGAAAATTTTAGATTATGGAGTTGTTGGATGCGACTGGAATGGGTGGTGAGTTACGGTTGGGATGAAAACTCTCCAAGCCATCTCGACCGTCGGATGGCCCGTTGATATGACGGTCCAAGACATGCAGCGCTGAAGGAAGTGAGGTGAAACCCTAGAAGGATTCTCACGTGCTGGGCTGGGTTAGTTGGGCCTGGTGGGACTGTTTTTGGGTTGGGTCTATAAATAAAACAAAGAAAAAAATAAATATATATGTGTTATTAATATATAATGTACACATATAATGGTGTAATGTATGTAAGTATGTTATCTAATATATGGACATAATGTATATGTCCACTATAGTATATTATAGTATATAGTATAATATGTAT